TTTTGGGCATTTTGTGCCTGTATTGGAGAGATAGGACAGTGGATAGAGTTGGAAATCAGGGAGAAAGAGAGTAGGGAATGATATGCAGGAGTCGGATTTGAACCTGGGCCGCCTGCTTTGAGGACTATAGCCTCCATACATGGGGCGCACGCTGTAACCACTGCTCCACCAGCGCTCCAGCTTGACCAACTTTTGTTGTTTATTATTGTCACATAAAGTCACCAAGTGTGGCATATGATGAATAATGTATTGTAAAAAAATAAACATTATTTTGAGCTGACGGAGGAATGAAGAATACATACAAGGATAACAGTGTCAACTATTTTTTACCTTCTGACACTAACACTTCAAATGTATTTTTAGCTATTTCAAATTAATATTTCAACCTACCAAATTCATCAGACTAGCTCAAGTATAAATATTTACCATTAGGTGTTCCCAAATGTCTTTTATTCCCAAAAATGATAACAGAAATATCATAAACTTAGGCTGTTGTCCCAATGTTTTCTTCCCCGTCTCCCAAAAGAGCATATGAGGCAGCAGTCAGTGGTCCTACGCAGGCTGGGTATCCCTCTAGCATCATATTTAGAAATGCAAAGCCCAGCAGTCGAGTCCTAAAAAATGAACCATGTCCAGTTTAACTTAGTTTAAAAGTTGAAAAAAGAATGTACCTGGAGTTGGTTGTAGTCTGGTTATCTTTTGACATCAAAGTAATCAAAGTAACTTGATTATTTTGAAGCACCTTTTAGAAATGTTAAATTGATTTAGGCAGCCCCTCTGGACAAATTAGTACACACTAAAATCTTTGTAGATGGAAACGTGAACAATAAAAACACCAAAACTATTTTAAATGAAGTAACGTAAGAGGAAGTCATTTTCTTATAAGATTTTTTTTACTATTGGATAACATGTGAAACTAACGTCAGGCTCCTGGCTCATGTTTGAGTACATGTTTGTTTGTTCTATCTAATCGCCCAGTTACCGCCACCCTGAGTAAAACTTGATAGTCTTCATATCAAATCCACTGACTTCCTTGGCACCTCAAACAGTGTTCAGGAAAAGAAGGTCACCTACAGTGTCATATATTGAAATGTAAAGCCACTGTCCAAGCTGCTGGATTTGGTATTTAGATGTTGTATATAGCTTAGTTCTTAAATGCACGAGTTTTATTTAAAGTAAGATTTCCTTTTTCCAGATTTAAAAAATGTGCGCTGTAACTAACAAACGTGTTTCCTAAGATATTTCCATCTGTATCGAACATACCAAAACCTTTTACCAGCAAACAATGGAGAGCTTTGTTCTTGTGTAATGTAGGTATGAGAATCTGACCATTCATTCATTGTCCATGGTTCATGGCTGTCAGTTTGGGTTAAAGGTGAATAGAAGTGTCTGTCAGCAGGACAATACTGGAAAAAATTGTGCTTTTGGGTATCACATAATGCAGAAGACGCAGTTACAGTCAGAACAAAATGAGGCCCGAGTTTGAACCCTGAGGCATTCCACACTTCACTTGTGCCAGCTGTAGGTAGACATGGTTTCTAACTGAGCTTTTAAAAGATGGTGTGGGAGTCTTCATACTGGACTACTGAAACAAAACACCCCAATTCATCTTCATTGGAAAGGAATATAATAACTACTATCTGATAGTAATGATTTGACAAGAATGGAATTTTGTGACATTTTATTTATTTTATATCATTGTATTTGATTCTCTCAGAGGCTCAAACATGTTAAGTGTATATTTTCTTTCACGTGAATAATTCCTTTCCGACCGTCAGCCCTGCCAACACTTGGACGAAGAGAGACAGAGCCATCCACTCAGGGATGCAGTTTGTAGAGGCGTAACGGCTGAGTTTAGGCGTGAGATTACATTCAAGGAGAAGAAACAGACTTTCCAAAAAGTACAATGTAAACAAAGGCTCCATCGGTCCTGGTCCTGAAAATCCCTTTTGTCATATTTCCATCCAATGGAGGTGGTCGAAGCAATATACAGTCAATCTTTTAGCCAATGGTCATGTTGGCTTTTTTAAGGTCATAAAGAGGCATCAGTATCTAACTGAGAGTGTCTCATTTTAAAAAGTCCTGAAAGAAGATTCTAATAATTGATTTCTTCTTTCACCAAAACATCATTGCTGTAACTTTTCAAGCTAAATTAGAAATGTAATCTGGGGGCGCCAGTAGCCTAGTGGTTAGTGCGTGCGTCTCACATACAGAAGCTGAAGTCCTCCAAAGTCCTCCAAGCAGGCGACCCCGGTTCGAATCCGACCTGTGGCTCCTTTACTGCATGTCTGTCCCAACTCTCTCTCTCCCTGATTTCCGTCTCCATCCACTGTCCTATCTCTAAAAGAAGGCATTAAAAGCCCCAAAATAAACCTTAAAAAAAAGTTAATCTGTGGGAAGTGGGTGCATTTGAGAGTCCAGTTGTGTTAGGTGTCTCCTTGTATGTAGGGTCCATAACCTCATTAAACTTCACTTCATGGTATAAGCACAGATGGGTCCTGGAAGTGGATGCATACTGAATACTACTCTGCTAACTTCAGCAGCAATATGAATTCAAAGCTGGTGAGTCTTTATTTTTTTTTCATATTGTTAAACTCTATGTTAACGGGTGTTTTAGTTTTATTCATATTTTTGTAAGAGATTACATGAAGTCATTCACATTTGCTGAAGAAATTAAACAAAAGGCCTCAAAATAAACGTTTTGACCATTAAAGGAAATTCAAAGACTTTTAAAATCTTTATGTCAAACAGTGATTTATAAATGCATCATTTTAACCTCAGTATAACTGCCAGTAAAACGTGTCTTTGCTGTAAGGTGTGCACTTGGGAGCCTGTGTTTGAGGAAGTGAATAGAAAGAGCAAGAGACAGACAGAAGGAGACGGAGGGAGAGGGAGGCAGGAGGGACCCGTATTAGCCGGGACACTTGAATGAATTTGAAGAATAGGTTTTTTACATGCAGAACAGCCACAATATACTGGGCCCTGACTGGCAGACTTCACCAGCTTCTCTGATTCAAATGATGCAAACCTGCCTGATTGGAGGGATTTAAATACTTTTTTATAGTAAGGCGTCCAAACAAAACCAAGACTGGTCGTCTACCTTTAACTGCTGCTAAACTGAAGTCTGGAAGAAAGAACGGGAGAATGTCAGAAAGCGACTGTGACCGCCAAAATGTACAAATCACATAAAAAGAACATTTTTTTTCAAAGAATCCTCCATGCATTCAGTTTTTAAATGTGTTGTTGGTTTTAAAGTAGGTACAGCTAACAATGCAGAAAACTGTTTGTATGAACATGTTTTTAACATTAATCAATTTGAAACGATACACAATCTGATAATGCTGCCAGGTTTGGGATCATCCTAACTCCAGAAAGATTTTTTAAGTTATGTATAATCTAAGTCTTTTTTCTTTACTTTATGAAAGGAAGGCAATTGAAAGTGCTACAGTCACTAACATAAGAAGTTTCATATTAGCAGTAATTTTAACAGCAATTCTCCTCAGATGAAACACCCGACCACCATCAGCTCAGCTTGTGTCAGTTCTGAAATAGTTCCACTCCTGACATTAATTTGAGTTTAATTATCTGCATAGTTTTCCTCACTTTAAGAACAAATACACTCGTTAATAAAAACCATAATGAAGCAGTTTCAATCTTGGTGTCAAACACCACTTAGCAGACGACACAGGACACCCCAGTGAGGGAGGTGAGCTGCCACCTGAATCCTCCAAATTGTTACCTGTTACTTTTTTTGTAAACATCTCTGCATTGAAGAGATAAGGATTGTTCCTAGTTTCTCTCTTCTTTCCCCACAGACTGCATCTACTTTCTTTAAACAATGGCTTAAAGTGGGCGTGTACCCTGTCCTGTACTTCAGAAGCAGGAAATAAACGACTTAACTGTTGTCTCTATTTCTGCTGTGTGATGTCAATAAAAATACCCAAAGTTTGTAATCACACTAGGAGTGTAAAATGTATTGCCTTCCTCTCTAAAGATGACATATCCCCCAGCCCCAGTGTCAAGACACAGTTAGCAATATCTCCCCTCTGTGCATTTATATTAGTCTTATTATTCATTATGTTTTATTTTTGATCAGTCTAGCTTCTACCATTTGACAAACTCTGCAAACAGCCTCTGAATCTCTCCAATAACGTGACCCATATAGATTCAACATTTATTATATTTCAGTCAATCAAACATCATCATTTTGCAAGCTCTTCAAAAGTATAACATCCTAAAAGCAACAACAACTAAAAAGTCTAATTGATTTAAATATTTCGAGGAATAAAGGTTGGTATTGTAATAATCTTCCCACCCATTAAACTGCGTAACACAATTACTCTCCCGATGTGAAGGCAGCTATTGTGTGCATGTAACAGTGTTACATTCAGTTCCACTCTCTGCAGCCGTGTAAATGTCCGACAGTATTATCTCTGTCAAGTGGCTGTCCGGGTTCTGTTATGTGATCTGGTGAGGCAAAGCTGGCCCCTCAATTTTAAGCACACACAGACACAACTAAAGCTCCCCTGCCCCTCTCGCACACACACACACACACACACACACACACACACACACACACACACACACACACACACACACACACACACACACACACACACACACACAGACACACACACAGACACACACAAATAGACACACACTGTGGCTGACCCAGGGGTCAAGGTGCAGAGACTCTGAGCGTTGTCTAACTGGGCCTCTTGAAACTCTTGCCTTGCATTCCAGCGCCCGGAGGAGGGGGTTGTTGGAGCCGGGCTTATTACAGAGAGAGAGAGAGAGAGAGAGAGAGAGAGAGAGAGAGAGAGAGAGAAAACAGAGGGAGGGAGAGAGAGGGAGGGAGAAGCGGGCTAAAAAGAAGCTGGAAGGTATTATGCACTCTTTTCCCTTTGCTTCCTAGAAACTCCCGCTTGTTCCCTCCCACTCGGCCGGCACAGTTCAGACGACGCAGCAAAGGAAACGTTGAAAACTTGAACCTGCTATTCTCCAGCTGCCTCGGCCTTCTAAGTAGATCACTTGTTTTCTTTCCTGCTGTTCAGCCTCTGTCTCTCTCTCTCTCTCTCTCTCTCTCTCTCTCTCTACCAGTTTCTCCTTCCCTCACCCTCTCCCTGTTTCTCTCTCTCTCTCTCTCTCTTTTTCTCTGGGCTGTGTGTAAGAGGATCACTTTGTTTCCGTAGCCTTTTTTTCCGCGCTGCTGCAGACACATGGAGGAGGAGAGGACTGGATTTGGGGGAGATACTGACGGGGGTGCACAGCTGCAACAGTCCCCTCCATCTCCACACTAGGACTAATGCCCCTCATCTCTCTCTCTCTCTCTCTCTCTCTGTCTTTCCCTCCCTGTGTGTTTGGTTCTCCCTCTGTCGCACTCTCTCTGCCTCTCGATGGGGTGGGGGGTGCCATATGGGAGCTCAGAAAAATGGAAGTGGATCGGAGATAGACATGAGAGGAATCTGTCATTCTCGAGCTCGGATATCAGAATCTTTTGGGTGAGTTTGCCTCTCTTTTTCTCTCTTTTCACTTTGTTTGAAGTTGTGTACTCTCCTCTGAATTCCCTGCAGCATGTTTAAGTCCTCGCTGCTTTTTATTCACAACTACCTATTCTGAGTTTGTATTGTTTGTTTGAGCTGAAAATGTCGACATATTTTACTTCTACATCACTCCAAAGAGTTGACGTTCATGTTTTATTGATAAGCTGAATTTTTAATAGGCTTTGTTTATTTGAGCTTGTGCCGGTTTGCAGGGTTTTGAGGGTCAAGGTAGAGCGAGAGGGGAGATGGAGCGGAGGCCGACTGGGGGAAGGGAATTCGGAGGGGTCAAAGAGAATGGCACTTGGCCGAGGTAGCACAATGGCTCTGAAAACTTTTTTGAGTCTGACATTGTCACTGCGAAACATGTGCCCGCCTGAAAACATGGAAACTGCTTTTTGTTACAGCTGCATTGTTGGACTTTTTTGATGTGAAGGCAGTTCATTTTTTTAGCTGATGAAATTGATTGGTGGCTTGGTGGGTTTCATGAGGTTGTAATTTTTAAGTCTGGGCTGATTTCTGAGACAATGAGCTTAGACACAACTCAGCGTCTTATAAGCTCTTGTTATGTTTTATAATATATTTTTGACCTATTTAACTGTTCTAATAATATACCATAGTGGCACATAATGAAATTTAAACATGCACTTCTTACTTATTTTTGATATTGAATTCAGACAGAATAAATCCAAGTTCACATTTTGACAATGCTTCATAAATCTGCATTATGTGGATAATGTGTTTTTGAGGATGCATGTGACAGATAGTTTTCTGTACGCTCATCTCTGGAATTTTTTGAGCAGCTCATGTTGCTCTCTGTGCAAACTAATACTCAACTTATCATGCTCACCGACTGACTCCAATATAATTCATGAACGGAGCACTTCCTGCACACTTTAAAGCTACACCTTCATTTTTTTGTAGTGACTACTTTAAATTTAAAGCTACTCAGCAATTATTGAAAGACACGTCATCGACCTGTCTCTTTGATCAGATAGTTAAAATTATAGAATTAAAATATGAACTACTTTTTTTCTGAACTCAGTTAGTACACAGATTAATAGTTAGTAGAAACCAACCAGTCTTTTCTCAAATAAAACCTTTACTGAATCTCTCTACAATCTTTGACTCAAATATTAATTTTCCTTTTTTCGAGTACACTCATTGAAATAAGCATGTCATATTTGACCAGCAGCGGTTTTTAAGAAGTTTTAGGTGTTAACCCTGAAATACTCCAAACTTCCTTAAACTTCAAAGTCTATCATGTTTGAAGCCTCCAGGAGTTAGTGTGTGTACGAGCCGGGTTGAGTGAGTGAAGTCCTTTCAGGAGTCTATTGAAGTGCAGAGCTGTGATTTATGTGCTTCACCCTGATGGTTCATTGGCAGTTCGGGGATTTTGAACTCACTCCCTCGTCTCTTTGAAGAAATCAGAAGCCGTCTCTCTGACTTACTCATTCTGTGCCTCCCTTGCTCCCTCTGTTCATTAGCCATCTTACTAACAGGGGAGTTAAGAGTCTCGACCTGCACCTGTGAAAGGTGGCATTAAAGCAGGATTTTAAAGTGATGAAGAAATGTTGAACTTAGTTTTATCAGTACAAATTTGATTTGTATATAATGTCTGTTAAAGTTACAGTGAGCTCAGAAGCTTCAGACTCTGGTACTACTATTTTATTAATACACAGACTGTCTGCGGCAGGATCTAGTTCTCTATTTTGGGCATGTGGGTCACAGTATAATGAAGCAGCACCGCAACAACCTCTCTATTAGAACTCGTGAAGTTACTGTCAAAACTTTTATTCTTTGTTGATGTGGCTGCTGCTTCAGCTTCAACCAGGAAACAACAAATCCCGAGAAGGGGAAAGACAGCAATAGAAAAGGAAAATGTCAACTTTCACATTTAAGAGTGTTTCTTATGATGTCAAATAATTCAGTCCCAGCTGCTACTCTTAAACAAATATAAAGAATTCAAATGAACTCAGAAACACATCCCTGTTGTCTATTATCCTGAAGTTTTGAGTGGTTTAAGAATAAGCTGATAAAAATACTTTTATTTGTCCGTCAGGGGGTCATTTGAGTTTTTGTAAAGGTTTTTAGATCACCTAGATATATGTCAGTAGGATTTAAAGTTAGCCATGTATTTCTGTAATTTTAAAGCATATTTTTAATCTGAAATGTTAAGCCTTTATAAAAGCATGCATGACTGAATACATAGAAGAAATAGTGCTCCAATAAAAAGGCTAGGAAAAGCAGGTTTGGTAAAGCAGGTACACACATTAATGAACTGGATTGAATCTGAATGTCTATGGTCTTTATGTCTTTATAGAAGTTACTCGTATGGTTTGTGTAAGTAGATGATCCTTTTTTTTTTTTGTACTGTAAGCCAGGTAACGACATGTCGTCAGATAACCTGCCTGACCTCTGCAGCCAATTTTAGCCTCTCCCTCATGCCCCCTCTGGTTATAAATTAGCCCAGTTGTTTGCAAGCAGTGAAAGGAAAAGCTCACTTAGTAGAAGTGATTTATTAGTTGTTAGGCCGCTGCTGCCATGTGAATGACAGAGGTGCCATTCAGGATGAAAACAGAGACTCAGAGAGCAGGCAGGATCTGACCGCTTCAGGAAGTAGGAGGTGGTTTCCTCTTCTGCCACTCAACCAGGAGAGAAAAACGCATGATTTACCTTTTAGTTTTCCTTCCAAGGACATTTTTATATGTTTTTTTAGAGAGCATGCTAATAGTGCCACCTTATAATTTATGCAATATTTACCAGGATTGTGAGCTGGATTCAGCTTTGCCACTCTACACGAGTTGTTTGACAGTTAAAATAAAACAAATATCTGTGAAGAGACACAGAACCTTAATGTACCTGTGTTACATTCTGTGGTAGACAATGCAATCTGATAACCATGTGCTGTTAGCCTAATAGCAGGTTTTATTTTTCCATGTTGGCTCTTTCTTCAAACTCTCTGCTTCACATCTGCCTCACTCTTTGTGGCACACGCTGCAGACCGCTGAGAGAAACCAGGCTATACGGTGTTTACATGTCGAGAGTCATTTGAAAGATCGATGAGTAATCCATCTCTGTAAATTGAGTTGTGCTTACTCCGATTCCAACCTTAATGCAAGTAAGATAACTCGGTTAAGATGTTTGTATGACAATAACCCCTGTATTGCCTTACTCAGGTTATGATCAAATTACGAGAGTGCATGTAAATGCAATAAGTGACAACCCTGTTGGCCTCTTTCTGTTCTGTCACACAACACTTTCTGAAGCACTTTTTAGCACAGCAGAAAACACCAGTGTTTACCTTTAAAACAAGAAATACTTAAAGTGACAACTTCAAACTTTCAGGACTGGGAGGCTTTTTTCTGCTGTGAATGTGAAAGAAATGTGAGTTACCTTAAGAGAGACACCTCAGCTCTACACTGAAAGTAGGACATTGGCAGACAGCAGCTCTCTTGGGAGTGGATGAAGAGATCTGCCTGTAGTTGAGTTTTGCTGACTAATGAGGGCACACAGTGTGTGACTGTGAAGCTCTGCTCTTCCAGGAAGGAATATGATGAGAGTAGTTATGACAATAAGTGCTCTAACAAAGCAGCTGTTCATGTGAGGAGTTCGTGACCTCAGGGGCCAAGAAAGCAGGAGCTTCGTATAGAAAGACCCATTTATGTTGTTGTTTTAACTCGGCTGGTTGTAACTTCATCACACTGGATGAACTGAGTGCTCCCAACGTGATCAGACTTTTGATAATTGCCATATTCTGACGGTTCCCAGGCTTGCTGATGAAGAAGTGTTGACGGACACATGGCATGCAATTGGGGGTGCAACAAACTAATTATTTCTGTTATTAATTCAACCACTGATTATCAAATTTGACTGATTTGTTTTTGATTGTAAAACATTTCATAAATTGCCCATCACAGTTTCCAAAATCCAAAGTAATGTCTTTTAAATGACCTCTTTGATCAACCCAACATTTCTAAAACCAATAGACCATTTACTGTCAGACTGACTGAAAAAGCAGAAAGTACACCCATTTAAGAATTTCATCATCCTTGACTATGTTTTCTTCCTGCTAAGCTTAACCAGGCACATGAATTAATTATGTTTTTACTGGTTGAGCGGTCTTGTCCTGATTCCTTGTTTATCCTAAAATAATGTGAAACTATAAGAGAAGGAGTTGGATAGAGAATGGTTGTGCTCACATTGTGCAGAGTGAGAACTCTCTGATCTTGTACGAGTATCCTCTCTGGGATCTCCTCCTTTTATGCTGCTCAGGAGCGTCACTCTTTTTAAACTCTCTGAGTCTTACTCGGCCACTTGTTAAAACTTTTACAAGCTTCTGTTGTGAAGCCCCTGCAGCTCTCAGCAGTGCTGTGTCTCTCCAACTGGATGAAGCCTCTTCTTAGTACATCTAATGTACATGAGGTCTTTGAGTAAATCACATAGGGCCCTTCACTAGATTGACCCACTTAACCTGGCATCACCGCTGAGTTGCTACAGCTTGAATATAGATGTCAAGTGATATTCATTACCCTATCCAGAGACAGTATCACAGTGATACCTGCAGTTAAATCGACTCAGATTTTAAAGGGATTTTTTACCCTAGCCTGTTGTATATATAGATATATTTATCAGGGTCAAAATGACTAAAGAGTACAAATAGTTTTGGAAATGCTTGAGGACAGATTGCTTCTGTTGGCAGCCACAGAACAGGCTCTTATGGCTGAAGGTAATCTTTCAGGGCAATGTTCCCAATCATTGTATGCCTGTAACAGATCTTGTTTTTGCCTCTAAAAGACCAACGTTGATATTGAATTTCTCTGACAATGTGACATTAATTAAAGCTACAGAAATAAGGTAGGATCATATTGTAACAACAAACAGCTGTTGACTTGGTTCTATCCTCAAAGTCGCGCTCTATTTTAGTAAAAAAAATCAAACTTTACTCTACAAACCTTTGA